GGGGCGGTAGTTTCGGGATGAGGGCTGGTCACCGGAAAGTCAAAGCATGATTGGAACTTGAAACTTTCAGCCCCACTCCTCCATCCTGGAAGGAGAGGAGAGGGGCTTGAGATAAGTTAATAATCTTTTAAGGTCTAAATGGAAAGATTTCCAAGATATAGTATTAAGTAAGATTAAGGTGCTGAACAGTATGTATGTTTCTTCGGCTTACAAAAAAGGAAAAATAGAACATATATTCAGTTTTGCTTTTATTTTCATAAAAAAGTCAGAAAAGATGCATAAGAAATTAATAAAAATGGTTGCCTGGGTGAGAGGCAGGAAGTAGCATAAATGTTGACACGAAAGGGATATGAGGAAACTTTTGGTGGTTATGCATATGTTGCCTACCTTGAATGTGGTGATGACCTCACAGAGTATAAGAATATAACCAATGGAATATTTTAAACATTTGTAGATTAGCATATCTCACTTGTATCTCAGTAAAGCTGCTAAGGATGCATATACATATAACTAAATAAATAAACTTGATTTTGAAACACAGGAGAGAAATGGTTCAGCAACTAGAAGGAGATGCTGGGGTGAGCAACTGTTCTTTTGATTTTTAGAAGTTTTGGCTTTGCTTTGTGTCTTTCATATAACAAACGCAAGCAAATTTATAAGCTGTAAGTATATCTTTACATGTAGAAGCATAGAAAACTATAGAAGCTAATGTAGCTAACACCCGAGAGAAGAGATGTAATATTTATAGCCCAAGGCCAGTGGGATAAGGATGTAAGAATATATCTCCAAATGCTGAACCCTGAGAATAAGCTCTTAGTTTTGGATACCAGTGACATTGTAAGCTAAATTAATCAAATGAACACAGTCTTCTCCCCTCAAGAATGGTGCATCTCCTTAGAAGGGATTTCTTCCAAATTCATTGACTCCTTCAAAGTTTTGACTGATGTGTTATCTGTGATACACTCTAAAAATAAGATTATCTATTGAAAAGTGGACTGAGCTTTTTCCTCTGATCAAGAAAGAGCTGTAAGTGAGAAGGTGCTTTGTTCTAACTTTACCAGACATTAAGAACCCTGAAGCCACTCTGAGAGCCCTGATATTTGTGTCCGTGTCATACGTTTGTGCAATATGGAAAGAGAAGCATTCACCTAAGTGAAAGGGAGGTGGTGTTCAAAATTTGTAACACACACACCACACTCACACACACCACAGGGCAGGGAGAGCTCAGAGCTTGCCACACATTAATTGATATTTAACTCAGTGTGGTGGAAACAGAACAAAAACAAAGTGTCAATTTAACAGAATCACTTGTCATTTTAACATTAAAACAGCCTGTAACTTAACACTTTAATTTCCTAAACATTTTATTCAGAAAGAGTCTGACTTCTAGGAGCATTCATTTAGGGAACTTTTAGGACATAAAATCCTGATTCTGTAAGAATGGTTTCTGCGTCTTTCATATTCATATTCAACAGGTTTAATGTGATGTGCAAATTAATGGTGATCTCTCTCTCTCTTCTTTTCTTAACCTGTTTGATTTCAATCAGAACCCACATTCTTAATCAACGTTAACGTGCGTATTTGTAACTATCCAAGGGCTAACAAAGAAGAAATTCCTGTTCGTTTAATTAGCCAGTAGCTTTGGATCAGAATTTTTCGTTCCATGGCGCTTTAATGGGTCTCCAGACGGTCAAAACGTCTCTCGTTCCCAGCAAAGTGAGCAAGTGGGTTTACCGTGTCCCGTTTCTGAGGTCTTTTCGGACGCCACACTCTTTGGGTCCCGATGGAGCAGGGCTCCTAGCGGTTGGGCGAGTACTTGGAGCGGGCTGATCCCCTCGAAACACAAGCTGGGGAAAGGGGCCGAAGCCACGGAAGCCCATTCTCAGACCCTGGAAGCAGGAGGGGACCTTTTGGGAGCCACTAAACTCAGGATTTGGAGCAGGCGCCCCGGACCTGCTTTCCGCGCAGGAAGATCTGCGCCCCAAGTTGTCTCCACTCGAAAGCGCACAGGCATTGCGCCCCGCGCCACTTCCGCGCGGGTCCCGGAGATGCTCCATCAAATAGAGGATTCATGTACCCCCTACCCTGGCGGGTTGGGGTTCCAGTGGCAGGCGACAAAGACGATCTGAGCTGCTTCCATCTCTGGCAAGGTTAGACGGGGTCTGAGGGCAAGCCGGGTTTGGGCGCGGCCGGAGGGCAGGGGCTCAGACGTCGGCTTGGTCCCGCGCCCACGCTCGCACCTCTCCAGGCCCCCTCCCCGGGCAGGGTCTGGGGTCGGAGAGTTGGGGTGTGGGTGGCTACAGGAGCCGCCGCTGGCGCGACTGCGGCGCCAGCCCCCTCCCCCCGTCCCCCGCCACTCGGGGGCGGGAAGTGGCGGGGTGGGAGTCACCCGAACGTGATTGCCTGAGGCCCCTCCTGCCGCGGCGAGGGAGCTCCATAAAAGCCCTGTTTCGACCCGCTCTCCACACCAGGTCCGCTGGCTCTCACCCCTTGGAGAGGTGCACCCGACTGCCAGGCCCTCGCCGCCCAGCCACACCCGCCCGCCCGCCAGCCACCGTGAGTGCCACGACCCACTCGGCTTGGGGCGGGAGCTGGGGGACCGCGCCGGCTCACCCTCAGAGGAGCTCTGGGGCCACGGGAGGGTCGTGCCCGGCTCCCCAATCCCTGCGCGCCTCTCTCGGTCCTCTCCTGCCCCGACGCGCGGTGACCTCTCTTGGAGGCTAAATTCCACTTGCTCCTTCTGGTCCTTTCCGACTGCACACCGGCCCTGCTCCCGCCCCCCTCCCCTCCCCCTCCCCGGCGGCGCGGTCCTTTTGGGTTATCTTTTGGAGGGTGTGAAGGGGAACGCGACCCCCAACCCCATTTCCTCGGAGGTCGACGCCGGGAAGGAGGTTTCCCGGAGTTTGGAAGCTCCCTGCCACTTTCCCGGATCCTTGGGATCCGATCTGAGACTGCCCTGCCCGGGGAGTTCTCTCCCCTCTCTCCCAAATTGTCACCCCGAAGGAATCTTCAGCCATAACCTCCGATGTCCTGCAGCAAAGACAGACCAAAAGTATTAGAGAAGAAACTTTTCTCCTCCGGCCGGGGTTTGGGGGTAGGAAAGTGACAATTATTCACCCCACGGGAAGGAACTTCTACTTGTGTTTGTAAACTATCTAAACTGGCTCAGGCGAGCTCTGGTCTCACGCCTCGCACCTCTCCTTGCGTGACTCTTCCGCGCAGCGACTTGGACCGAACTTGCGCGGACTTTTCGCGTGGAGCAGAAGGGTGGGGCAGGGCAGAGGGTGCCTTTAGTAAGCGGCGCGGTGCTCACCACCCTCCACTTCCCTCTCGAGTGGTAGCGGGGTGTGGGTGGCGAGGGACATACAGGAGGGAGGTTCGAGGTATGTATCCTTTCAAACCCCACTATTCTCCGCTTTCCCTTCTGTGCCGGCAGATGCTGGGTAGCAAGCGACTGGGGCTCTCCGGAATGACCCTCGCCCTGTCCCTGCTTGTGTGCCTGGGCGCGCTGGCCGAGGCGTACCCCTCCAAGCCAGACAACCCAGGAGAGGACGCGCCAGCAGAGGACATGGCCAGATACTATTCAGCGCTGCGACACTACATCAACCTCATCACCAGGCAGAGGTGGGTAGGCTCCTCGGGACCCACTCAAGGAGCGCCCTGCCTGCAGGAGCTGAGATCCTGGGGACCTCAGAGGACAGGGACCAGTTTTTTTTCTTGCTTGTAACCCAGGGCAGCACAGTTTCAGGCACATACTCAGTTCCCTGCATAATTACATAGGGCACTGAACACTTTCCCTCTGCAACCGTAGTTACAACATCGTGACCCCCGCCTCCCCAGATTTAGGTTCCCTAAGCTGTGTGGCTGGCCATCTTCTCCCACTCACTCCCTGCTGTTTTTGGTTCTTAGAGCAGTTGGGGGACTGTTTGGAAACCTGGATGGGAAAGGACCCCCTAAAACAGGTCAGAAATGCTCTAGGGAAGTGCTGTAGGGAGAAGGGTGAGCTGAATGTGTAGGAACTACAACCACCACACCAACCAGGAAACAGCTGGGTTGCCAAAGATATTGCCAGATTTTCCAAGCTGCCCAGAGCAAATTGCATGACAGTATTTAGGAAAAGACAAATAGAGCTATTTTCTTGTCTTCTGTACAGTGGGGTTTTTTTTTTTTTTCAGTCTCAGCTCTTAACTTAAAAATCCTGGTGCCAATAAATAGAGATTTAGCATGAAAACAGTTCATCTAAAATGCAGAGACTTTCCCCATTTTATAGCAGGTGAGTTTTGAGAAGGAAGTGCCTACTTAGTGCTTTGTTAAGAAGAAAACTAGTCACTCTAGGATAAACCCTGGCATTACATGGAATTTGGAAAATTGTAAACTTTATTCTGAACCCTCGGAAAGCTAAAATTAAATGCCATGCTTTCACTCTCAGCATCAAATATTAGGGGAAAAAAATCACATCCAAACTATAATACAGGATTCAAAATTTGTTACCTGAATTGGTTCATCTTAATTCTAAATCATTCAATATCTTATTTCAATTCCAAGAGCAAATGAACTTGATAGGCTAAAAAGGGTGAACCCTTTAAAAACACTAATGTTAACATATTTAAATTATGGTTTGTAAAGTGTTATTTTGTTTTTGTTTTTACCATACTTTTTACTGTTTACAAGTCAGAGAGTCCTTGAGAAGGATTCAAAATGGGGCAAACTTGTATTTTTTTTAAATAATTTTTTTCCTGTTTCATCAAACAGGGATATGACATCCTAAAAAGCTTTTGAAAGTCCCAGTTTACATAGAATCAGAAATACATAAAATGTTGGAATTGAATAGTACTGGTTTGTGAACCTTGAGGTCTGTTCATTTTAATTAGCAAAAAGCACTAATGTTTTATATTCTAGTAGACTTCTCAGAAAGTTAATTGCTTCAAATTCTTATGCTTTCATATAGACTAGAGAAAAGAATTGTTCAAATAAAAAAGATAGTAATTGTCGTTTATCTAGGAAAACCTTTGTTGGTTATTTAGTCTGTCACTTATAACATAGTAGAACTTATTTCTTCAAAGATGATTGCTATAAAGAAAGCTTTTAACATCGTATAAAGCTTTAGCATTTCAAAATGTTTCCCTAGGCATTATTTCATCCAGTCTTTACCTCAAAGCCTTGAAGTGAGTATAATTATCTACATTTTATAGGTCATGAATCTAAGAACATTTATGAAAGCTTTTCTTTTTAGGGGTGGTGAAATTCAAGCATTCCTACTGATTTTCCTTCGATATTGTCACTACCATCAGCATCGAGTGTGATCTCCAACCTCTTTGGTGAAACAAAAATAAAGGGAAAGGGGCTTGAGTTTTTTGGGAAGAGATTCAGGTTAGGTGGGAATGAGTTGATCCTGAACCAGAGTTTCTTGTCTCATCTTCATATAAATTCCCTCTTAGAAACCATCAGAGGCTTATCATCTGCACCCATCATCTCCATTCCCACCCCACAAACCCGATCATCTGCACAATTTTGTATTTTTGAAAATTACAGCGTCATTTGTGAACAGGTGTTTTCATTTGGCACAAATGGTAGTCTGATATCATTCTCTTTCCTCCCGTTTTCTACTCGGTCCATGTTTTTAAGCTATACGCTCCTGGTTCATTGCCTGAAAGCTGCGTCATTTATTCTAGAGCATGGATCGTCCACATTTGGCTTTTCCAGTCCCCTACATCAGTGGTTCCCAGCTGGGGCTGACTTTATGTTCTAACCATCCTACCATGCCTAGGACAGCCCCCTACAACAAAGAATTTTCTAGCCCAAAATGTTAATAGTACCAAAGTTGAGAAACCCAGCCCTAGATTAGTCTTTCTCCATCCAGGTCAGACATTGGAATCACTTAGGGAGCTTTTTAAATATGCTAGTACTGGGCTGCAGCCTTGACTAGTTAAATCAGAACCTCAGGGTTGCGTGGGACCTGAACTTTACAGTGGTTTTACAAGCTTCCCAGGTGATATCAATGTAAAGCCAGATTTGAGAATTTTTTTTTTCCCCAGAGACTCTATCTTTGACAGGTGAAACATTGTAGAGCAGCAGGAGAATCCCGAATTAAGCAGAGAAGGAAGAATAGTGAACAATGCTGTCCTGGGTGCCACTTTATGACTGTGAATCCTGCTATTTTAGATTTAGCTTCTTTACTAGTAAATTGTAGAAAACATTCGTCAGTTCCTCTATTCACTGGAGCATGAGGAAGATAAATGAGTTAAGGTTGCTCAAGAGTTTTAAGGTTAATAAAATCAACGGATGAACAGAATAAGTAGGTATATAAGCAACAATCTACGTTTGACATCACAACTCTAGAAAATCTTGAGGAAATCTTATAAATGATGGGGGGGGGGCAATTTGTTTGTTTTTGCTTCCTTTAAGCCCCAGCAAAAGGAACAATAATAGGCAATCTTTCCAAAAGATTTGGATTTAATTGCACTTGATAGGCAGGGTATACTTTGTTTTGCTGTTTTGCTTATTAGCTAATCAATCCATCCAGGCTAGTTTTTCATTCGTGAACAACGTGGTTTCTGGTATACAAGGTATTTTCTGAGAAAGGGAAAAAGATACAACTTGGTAGGCCCTTCAGCAGTGACAGAGAGAGAGATAGAGATAGAGAGACCAGTGTCCTCACTCACCTGGAACAAATAGCATATACTTGCATTCACATATAGTCCTATCCACATCCTGCTCTAGGAGAAAAAAGACCAGTAAGATTCCACAGTCTTTCAGCGGACCAGTGAAATTCCTTTATATTTACAGGGCAGTTTAAATTAGAGCATGAAAGAAGGTTTTTAGCTTTTGGTACCCCAAATAAGTATGGAAAATATAGGACCCATGTTTATTGCTTTCTGTAAGAATGGGTGAATTTCAACAGCAATACCTTGCATTTGTGTTTCACTAAGTTGCTTTCAAAACGTTGTGACTCACATTAGATTTCTACAAAGACTCCAATTTAAAAACGAGTTGTGATTTTTTTACGAATGAGAAAACTGAGATTCAAAGACACAGGTAGGTCAAGAACTTCTGTCTGATGATTTTTTTTCCTAAGGCTGTTTCTGAACAATCATCTGGTTTCTTTGTTAAGATTTAAACTGCTGTATATCATCAGAACTATAGCCAATTAACTAATTATGGAAACATTTAAAATCATACTGCAATGTATTTTTATTTCCTGTCACTTAGTTATAAAAGTTTCTATATATGTATTGTTTGTGGTAGTATAAAAAGGCAAGAATTTAACTAAAAATTTCTATTGGTTCAAATAACCTGCTAACTTGTTATTTAAGCAAAATTATACATATTTATAATTTTTTAAAATTTACTTACTTTTGAAAGACAGAGAGAGAGCACTAGTGGGGGAAGGGCAGAAAGAGAGAGAGGGAGACACCGAATCTGAAGCAGGCTCTAGGCTCTGAGTTGTCAGCACAGAGCGGCTTGAACCCACGAACTGTGAGATCATGACCTGAGCCAAAGCTGACCCTTAACTGACTGAGCCACCCAGGTGCCCCCAAATTATATGTATTTATAATTTGAAATAATATTTCTGATAGTGTCTATTTCATATAACTAGATTATATTGTTAGCAGATGATCAGCCAAGTGGGAGACTATCTTCCTTTTTTTCCTAAATATTTTTCCTTTTTATGAATATTTCAAACTTGTTTTAAAAGACTTTTCCCTTTTTTTTTTTTAAGGTATGGAAAACGATCTAGCCCTGAGACACTGATTTCAGACCTCTTGATGAGAGAAAGCACAGAAAACGTTCCCAGAACTAGGTATGAAAAGCCTGTGTGGGGACATTGTTGCAGAGCTCAAGATGCACGGGGGAGGGAAATCCCAGAGGGCTGCCTGGGAGGGGGAAGACATTGGAATGAGTCTTCCAGAGCAGGTAGCATTTTGGCAGAAATGGAGATGGGGAAAAGGGCAGTGAGGACCTTTCTTTTCATGGACTAATTTGCAAATCTCTAAACTTCTGTGGGGTATTATTTTCGACCACAGATTATTTGGTGCTCCTTTGAAAATTTTAAATATAAGTGACTTTCACCTCAGAAATGACTCTATATAGAATTTCTAACTGTGTTAGAATTGAGAGAACATAGAGTGAGTCCCTATCTCTACATTGAAATGACCAGCAGTACATCTTTGGCTGGGGTAATCTTTAGTTTTCATACAGTATGTGGAGTGTCTAGAAATCCTGCAGATATCACTCATGAGTCTTATTCTAATCTTCCTCATTTTACATGAAGCCGGAGATCAGTCTTGGCTGGGTGGGGGCTAGTGTTTACTTTTTGACATATTTCAAGCTCAATATCACAGAGAAATTTCAAGGAATGAATGTTAAGGGCATAATATTCTTAGGGACTTGTCTGTAACCTTGGGGTTTTCTGGGAATGTGGAGCCATCTGGGGAAGAGGAGCCCGCCAAGAGCTGGTGTCAAATATTGGACAATGAAGGCTGTTGGGAAGCAGCCTGGCCCTCCTCTGTTTTCATAACTTTCTGGCTCTTCTGTCTGATGCCTCCTGCCTCGATCACGTGGCACATGGTTTCATCCATTTCTGTGGGAGCTTGTCTGCCTTAAACCCAAAGCTAGACAATGTCAAGAACCAGGTTCCCCAGAAGAGGTCACTAGAACACTTGCTCAGTGAGCGTGACTGGTGTGTCCCTCTTTATTGCTGTTCTCCCCAGAGAACAAGTGGGGTGACCTGCTGAGCCACTTACTTTCCCTCCCATCATCCTTCTGTCCTCTCGTGAAATGGCCAGTCTGGGCAAAGGTGCAGGTCTAAAGTTGTCGGGTTTGTTTTCTCTGAAGGAAGTAACAATTTGGACTGGAATAAAACTCCAGTGTTCTTGTCTGGAGGTATCAACCCAGATTTAAACAGCAAATGCAAGGGAAGCAGGTGGAAAATTCATAAGGGTTGTTTTTAATACTAAACAATAGATGCCTTTAAGGTTTCATTGACCTGCGTGTGATATTTGCCATGGTAAAAAGTTTAGGGTAAACCTTATCTGCTTTGGGTAAGGAAAGGAACCATCCAAACTTAATAACCTTGCTGCTACTCTTTGTTTTGTGGCTTAAAGTCTAACGGTTGGTGCATGAAATACAGTTAATTGCACCCTGATGGAGACAGCCTCAATCCTGTGCCATTAGGAGGAGGCAAAAGTTGAGAGCTTCGAAGTTGCCTGTGAACGCTATTTTATTAAAAAGTATTCTTTATAAAAATAGTATCTTACTACATAAAAAGCCTTGCAGGAAAACAAAAGCATATTCAGAATTGAGTAACAATAACTTTCTTGTTACCATTTTGTGTAATTCCTGTAGTTTTGATCTTCAGAAATATTGCAGAGTTCTTTGGCTCCTTTGATAAATACAGGGCCTCTTAAATACTCTGAGATTTGCTTGAGACTCCCGTGAACATGAGTGAAAACTACTCAGCTGGGTCTCTGCATATGATGCCACTGTCTCCTGCTCTGATATTCTACCTGACCTCCTATTTAGAATGTCAACAGGAGCCTTTTCAGCAGTTTCTGATCATCTTTCAGTTCAGAACTGAATGTCTCACTTTCTGTAAGCCTCCCAGGAGGCTGGGAAGCTTCTCTTACGTGCTTTGCTTCTTATGTTTGACAGGCTGGAAGACCCTTCTATGTGGTGATGGGAAATGAAACTTGCTCTCCAGTCTTTTCCTATTTTTCAACCCATATTTCATCCTGTAAAACTAGAGTCTGCCGGTCCTCCCAATGCATGCAGCCACTGTGCTCAACTCTGCAGAGTTTCCCTTTGTTGTCCTTGTATATACGTGTGTTTAAATAAAGTACCAAGCATTCAAACGTGTATGTTCCTCAATGAAAAAAATCTGTTGTTGCAGTAGTCAGAATTATTTTAAGTTATTCGTTACATCGCAATCTCACTCAGTAGGAGGTTCAAGGTTTGCTTCACCAGTGTTAAAGCAGTGACTATGGAAGTTATAAAGATATGATGATTAATGATGATCAAGACTCAGCTGTGTGTGTGTGTGTGTGTGTGTGTGTGTGCGTGTGTGAGTGAGAGAGAGAGAGAGAGGGAACAAAATTATTTGGAAACATTGAGCAGAGGAATGCTAACTTAGAATAATTTGCTGAACTTTCCCCCACATACACATGAAATCATTATTAACCTGATAGCCTTAGCTATCAGCAGAAAGGATTGCTGTCTAATAGAACTTTCTGCAAAATGTCCTCTCCTCTAATATAGTAACCACCAGCCACATGTGGTTTTTGAGCACATGCATGTAGCAAGTACAAACGAGGGACTGAGTTCTAAATTTTATTGGGTTTTAATTTCAATAGCCACATGTTTTTAGCAGCTATCATATCAGACAGCTCAGATCTATGCGTGTATTTAGGCCAATACACTAAGAATTTGAGTCATAAAGAGAAATACACTGAGTAGGAATGACTACTTTTTCACAGAACATGGGGTATGTTAATTAATTTAGCTAAAGGTTATTAAACTTTCCCCATCCTTCATGTACCTATGCATGGGTTTAGTTTAAAATTTATGGTACCGAGTTCTTACATGTAATTTCCAAATCAAAGAAAATGAGAAAATGGGTCTCATCCTATATTTTACTTTGGACCACACGATAAAAATATTTTTATGTGTTTTTTTATTGCTTACAAAACCCCCATATACATTATGTCTTAGGGAATCTTAGAGTATAAAAAATATTCTCTGTATATAAAGAATTCTGTTTCTTCAGCCATTGAAGACAGTGATACTACAGAACATAATTACCTTTAATGAAATTGTTCTGTGATTTTCCTACATTTGTCCTTATTTTTGTTTCCTTGTACTTCGAACTAAATATCCTTATCTATAGTTTCGCTGTCTGCAGTTTCCATTACGTGCGGACAACTGTGGCTGGAAGATGTTCTTCCTTCTGACAAATCATCAGAAGGTCACTAGTAGCCTAACTTTACGTCACAACGCCTACGTCATTCCCCTCACTTCATCTCATCACTTAGGCGTTTGATCATCTCAAATTTCAGAAGAAGAATAAGGTGAGTACAGCATAGTAAAATATTTTGAGAGAGAGAGGCCACATTCACATAACTTTTATTACTGTATATTGTTATAATTGTTCTATTTCATTATTAGTCATTGTTATTAATCTCTTCCTGTGCCTAGTTTATAAGTTAAACTTTATTATAGGTACCTCTGCATAGGAAAAAACATAGTTTATGTAGGGTTTGGTACTCTACACGGGTTCAAGCATCCACTGGGAGTCCTGGAATGTATCTCCTCTTCCCTATGCCAGAGAAGTGGGGGGATCTACCACACCAATATGTAAAGTGGTTTTTTTTTATCTTAAAATGTTGAATAAGTCATAATTTCTTATCACACGTCAAAAGTTCTTTACCAACCTAATATATTCTTATCACACGTCAAAAGTTCTTTACTGAAGTTATTATTATGCAAAATAAGTTGACTGAACGATTCATTGGCAGCACAGATAATCTGAATATTCGTCACCAATTATAGAACTCTTGGTTACATGGAGCAGAGCAAATAGGAATGACATCTATGGACCCTGGAAAGATAGCCTGGGAATTTGATTTTAAAACAAAAGTTTAAATCTCTTAACCTACCAAATCTAAATTTCCAAAAGGCTGAATATTAAATAGCCTACATTTTTACCTATCAATCAGGCCTTGATAACTCACCTCTTCACCTCATGTTACTAGAGAGAGGACTGAACCTTCATACCGTGTGAGCCCCGTTGTCCTGACTCAGTGGCTTCAGGTTCTCTGACCTTCAGATTTACTAAACTTCTGAGTTCTCACTAATGAAATGGGGATCATAGGTCTTGCTCAACTTTCGGCATAAGTTTATACTGGGATCAAAATTCAAGTTAAGATAATGTTACAAGTAAGTGGTAGTAGGGAAATGGATAAAGTTGAAGTTTTTGATAATTCTTGCGTTGGATTACAACTCCCTTGCTGTAGATTTGTTTGTATCCATTCAGATTTATATGTTGAAATCCTAATCCCCAAGGTGATGGTATTTGGAGGTGGGGTGTTTGGGGGGGTTGATTAGGTCATGAGAGTGGAACTTTCATGAATGGGATTAGTGTCCTTATAAAAGGGACCCCAAAGAGCTCCCTTATCCCTTCCATCACATGAGGACACAATGAGAAGATAGTTTTCTATGAACCAGGAAGCAGGCCCTCACCAGACCAAATCTGCTGGTGCCTTGATCTCAGACTTCCCAGCTTCCAGAACTGTGAGAAATAAAGTTCTGTTCTTTTTAAACCATCCACCTATGGTAATTTGCTATAGCAGCCCAAATAGACTACGGTATCCCTAATAAACAAGAATTCACTTTCAGAAATACAGTAATGGTAAACACTTATAAATTGCAAAAATACATTCCAAGAGATTCCCTAGTAATATTTTTCAAACATTGTCAGCCTGCCGACCCTCCTTGGAATAGGGATAAATGTACCAGATCACCCATCTGTCATTGCAAATAATAATAATCCTTACTAGAGTTACAGTAAGAACAAGTGACCCTTCATTAAAATGAGATGCCTGTAAGCAGCAATATCATTATCAACTAAATCTGCAAGCATTTATTAAGGTCTTTGCTGATCCAAACTCTAGTCTACATTCTTAAGAGGTATAAATTCTGCATAAAGTTTTTGCAGATGCCATTGCACTTTTTTGTTCCTCACAATGCCCATGACACATTCAGACAGAAGACGAAACTGAGGCCTAGGGAAAATAAGTGACTTTCCCCACCTCATCCAAGGTAGGAAGACAAACAGCAGTTCCTCTATTTGCAACATTGCCACACCTGATAATGTTTCATGGAAGAAGTTAGTCGACACCAGGTCTTACACAACGTAGTTAAGAACATAACTCTGGTACACTTAAATCGAGAATAACAAAAATACTAAATTGTGCAAAATAATTTAGAAAAGGAAATGAGTGTGGGCAGAATTAGCTAGGCAAGGCTTAATAGAGAATATGGATGTTGAGGTGGGTGAACACAGAGGTGGGTCAGCCAGAGCTTGTGTAGGGAATGGTCAGGGATCTACCTGATAGGAACAGAGGCAGAGTGGCCAGGAGTTGGGTCAGTGAAGTAGGTACAGGAATGGCCAAACTCACTCACCATTCATTTATCCACTCAACAGTTTTTGAGTATCTAATATGTATTGTACATTGTACTAAGCACTGGGGACATAAAGATCAATAATAGTTTCTCAGGGAGTTTACCATCTAATGAGGGAGACAGGTATTTACAGTGTATTGTCGGAAGTGCAAAGATGGGAGTTTTAGAGGTTTGGGATATAGTTAGGTGCTAGAATCTTCCCACTCATCATGTTTCCCTTTGCATTTTCCAGACAAAGGAGCCGTAGATAGAATAAACTGCCAAAATGGGACCAGAGTATCAGATGAGCAAGTATCCAATGACACCCAATGCAGGGCTGCCCTAAGCTGAATCAGGACACTTGACTAAGGCCTGAACTTTTAAAGTACCCCTGTCCCTCATACCAAATCTCATGCATCCTGGTGGAGCATGACAGTAACAGTGAGGTCTGTGGGGCAGACCTTCACATCCGCAGTGCCCTGTGGTCTAATGAATCAACCAGAATAACAGCAGCCCCCTCCCCAACCACCACTACTAAGCAAAAGGAGGTAGGAATGAGAACAGAGGAAGGGACTCTTCACAGCTATTATTCCCCATTTCAGGGGCAGAGATATCTCCTCTCTCTCTAACAAGAAGTGGGCACAAGGTGTTACAGGAGCCACGAAGGGGCTCCCACCCAAGGCTGTGGAGAGTGGAGGAGGCAGGTCAAACTTCCTGGAGCTACTGATGTTGAGCTGAGGTTTGAAGCAGGAGTACCAACTGCCAGAGGAAGAATGTGAGATAGGAGCAGAGGACATGCAGGTATGAGAAAACAGTATATATTTTGAGTGCTTTTTAATTATTTTTGATATCTATACTTTGAATTTGCCCACATGGTAGACCTGGATCACTGGTTACTGTTCTGAAGGGAAGATCGTATTTGGGATGAAAACAAGTCTCATGCCCAGCTCTCTTCTCCCCAGTGTTCCTCCATTTCTCCCCACCTGAAATCCCACCTGCTTTTCCATAGATTGGTTCCAGGGGCAGAGTGCTATCTCCCATAATCTTCATTCCACCAATCAGGACTAGACTTCTCAGCCTGAGATGCCTTCACTATGATCTTATGGACAAACTTACAGGTTCAGAGAATAAACATTGTAGGGTTGGTCCTACTCTCTAATTCAGAAACAAAAGGGCTCACTATTTCTTTTGCAGTATTTTAGCTTTCTTAGTATCTTCTAGCCTTTTTCCGCATTTAGATATGGGTCAAGACAGAAGAGCAGATATAAAGAGAAGGAAAAATCAGCCCTGATTTGGGAGTTGCACATCATGGCACAGTGCTTTCTGCTAAGTAAAGATGCCTGATGCATGGTCCAGAGCTAGGTCCACACGCAGACTCTATGGTCCTGCTGATGACAGACAAATTCATTGTCTCCCTCTTTCTTTCCAATATACATGCATTATGCTTATATGGTTACTTATTACTATGTGGGCAACAGAAAATATTTTTTTTACTCCATGCAGAATATGGGAGTCAGTTAC